TCAGTCGGTTGGGTGTCCAAATTCAGCTCAGCTTATGATCTTGCCATTTATGAGTTTGAGCCCCACATTAGGCTCTGTGCTGACAGTTCAGATCCTGGAGCCTGCTTTGGATTCTGTGTCTCCCTGTCTCTCTGTCCCTCCCCTGTTCTCTCTCTGTGTCTCTCACTCTCTCTCAAAAATAAATAAACATTAAAAGAGAGAGAGATTTTGAAAGCAGTGAAAGAAAAGGGACTCATCACAGACAAGAGATTCACAATAGGGTTAACAACTCACTTATTAAAACCATGGATGTCTGAAGGCAATGGGATGTCATATTCAAAGTGCTGAAAAGGAAAAAAAAATGGACAGCCAACAATTATATATCCAGGAAAACCATCCTTCAAAAATGTAGATGATATGAAGACAATACCAAATAAAAACTGACAGAATTTGTTAAGCAAATCTATGCTATAGACATGCTAGAGTCCTTTGAACTGAAATGAAAGGGCATTAGACAGTAATTCAAATCCACTTGAAGAAATAAACAACACCAAAAAAGGCAATTACATAGGTAAATATGAAGGAAAATATAAAGTGTTTTTCTGTTTGTAACTCCTTTCTCCTCCTATTTGATTCAAAAGACAGGATCATAAAGTGATAATTGTAAAACTGTTGATGGAGTTAAATGCCAAAAGTTGTCATTTTCATGACAATAATAATACAAAGAAGGAACAGGGAATCATGATATTGAAGAAATGTTTTGTGAAATTAAGTTGGTGTTAGTTCAAAATACATTATTTTAAGATGTCAATGTTAAATGCAACCTTCAGGGCTATAAGTAAGAAAGTAATTCAAAAGGTATAGTGAAAGTAAAAATGGTACTCTACAAAATATCTTTTAACACAAAAGAAGAAACCAATAGAGAAATAAAGTAATAAAATGACATAAGAGGTAGAAAACAAACAGCAAAATGATAGATACAAATCCCACTTTATCAAATATTATAATAAACTTAAGTGGACACCCCGATCAAAGGCAGAAACTGAAAATGGATTTTTAAAAAATATCTAATTGTATACTATCTACAAGAAACACATGAAATTCAAAGACATAAAGAGGTTGAAAGTAAAGATTGAAAAAGATATACCATGTATGCCAAAACCAAAAGGAGACTGGAATTGCTATATTAATAGACAAAATAGCCTTACAATAAAAATTATTACTAGAAACAAAAAAGCACATTTTATAATGACAAACACATCAATCAATTCAGTACACATAACAATTAAAACACACATACACCAAAGAAAAATGTTTCAAAATATATTATGCAAAAACTAACACAATTGAAGGATGAAATGGACAAATCAAGATTAAGAGTTGGAGACTTCAATATTCCACTTCAATAACGTATACGATAAAATGGGCAGATGATTAACATAGACACGAGACTTAAACAGTACTTTAATCCAGTTAGACTTAATAGATATCTATGGAATATTCTATGCAACAATAGCAGACTACACATTTTTTTCAAAAGCACATGGAACATTCTTCAGGATAGACCCTATGTTAGGCTATAAAACAAGCTTCAATGAACTTAAAAAGAGAAAGTCAGCTAAAAGATGTTCTCTGATAGCAATGACATGAAATTAGAAATCACTAATAGAAGAAAATGAGGAAAAGTCACAAATATGTGGAAATAGTATGTGAATAAATAACCAATGGGTCAAAATGAAAATCACAATAAAACTTACAGAATACTTTGAGATAAATGAAAATGAATACTAAATGTTAGGAGATACATACCGAAATTTGTGCGGTGCAGCTAAAACAGTACTTACGGGGGAAATTTATACCTATGATGGCCTATATTTAAAAAACAAGTAAATATCTCAAAACAATAACCTAAACTTCCACCTAAGAAACTAGAAGGAAAAAAATAACCCAAACCAAGCAGAGGAAGGAAAAATAAAGATTACTGTATAAATAAGTGAAATAAAGAATAGAAAAAAAACAATAGAGAAAACCAACAGAACAAAATTTCATTCTTTCAAAAATTCACCCAAGTTAACATTTAGCTATACTTACCACTAAAAAAAGAGAAGACACAAATTATTAAAATAAAAATAAAAGAGAAAATATCAAGGGGCGCCTGGTTGGCTCAGTCAGTTGAGCATTCCACTCTTGATTTCTGCTCAGGTCACAATCTCACAGTTTGTGGGTTCAAGTTCCCATCGGGCTCTGTGCTGACAGCCTGGAGCCTGCTTGGGATTTTCTCACTCTCTCTCTCTGCCTCTCTGTCTCTCTCTCTCTCAAAATAAATAAATTCAAATTTTTTTTTAAAAAGATAAAATATCAATATACATCTTACATAAATAAAAAGCATTATAAAGAGTACTATAAAGATTTGTATGCCAGCAAATTAGATAACCTAAACTAATGGGAAAAAAATTCTAGAAAGAAACAAATAATCAAAACTGCTTCAGTAAGAAATAAAAACTTTGAACAGACTTTCTCTAAAGAAAATCGCAGGCTCAGATGACTTCACTGGTGAATTTTAAGACACATTTAAAAGAATAACAGTCCACCTGAATTTCTTCCCCAAAAAATGGAAATTTCAGGAAGGAATGTTTCCCAGTTCATACTATGAGGCTAGTTTTATACAATACCAAAACCAGGCAAAACATCACAAAAAAAGAAAACTGCAGACCAATATCTCTTCTGAACATAAATGCAAAAATTCTCATCAAAATACTAGAAAATTAAATCCAGCCATATATAAATAAATTATACACCATGAGCAAGTGGGGTGTACACCAAGATTCTACAATTATTTAAGCATCGGATAATTAATGCAATACACAATACACAATATCAGTAGGATAAAAGAAAGATAAAAACCACACGATCATCTCAATAGATGAGAAAACACATTTGACAGAATCAAGCACACTTTCACGATTAAAACTCTCAAACCAGTGTTTATTTTGGCAACACATATAAAAATTGGAATGATACAGAGAAGATTAGCATAGCCCCTGCACAAGGATAACATGCAAATTCATGAAGCATTCCATATTTAAAAACAAATAAAGCAAAAACAAAAACAAAACCTCTCAAACCAGAAGTGAAAGCAAACTTCCTCAATGTGATAAATGGTTTCTGCAAAAAATTCACATCTAACACCATAGTCAATGGTGATTGAATGCTTTCCCCCTAAGATTAGGAACAAAACAAAAGTTTTCACTTTTACCATTTCTATTCAGCATTGTAATGGAAGTCTAACCAAGGTAATTGGGTAAGAAAAAGAAATAAAAGGCATTTAGTTTAGAAAGGAAGTGATAAAAAAATATTTCTATTTGCAGAAGGCGTACTCTTTTATATGTAGAAAATTCTAAGGAATTCATATTCCTTTATTCCAAAAATAAAACTATTAGAACTAATAAACGAGTTCAGCAATGTTGCAAGATATGAGATTAATATACAAAATTTGATTGAATTTTTAAAAAGTAGCAATGAACAATCCAAAAATGAAATTAATGAAACATTTCATTTGCAATAACAACAAAAAGAAAACAAATAATTAGGAATGAATTTTAATAAAAGATGTGTACAGTTTCTACATTGATAACTATAAATCATCCTTGAAAAATGCAAGAAAGACTTAATAAATGGAAAGATAGACCATATTCACAGATTGGAAGACAATGTTGCTGAGAAGACAGTACTCCCTGCATCAATCTACAGAGTCCATGCAATCTCAATTAAAATCTCACATGACTTGGGGTGCCTGGGTGGCTCAGTCCATTGAGCATTCATCTCAGGTCATATCTCAAAGTTGGTGAGTTTGAGACCCACATGGGGCTCCCTGTCAACATGGAGCTCACTTTGGATCCTCTTCCCACCCCCCCTCTGCCCCTCCCTCACTCGTGTTCTCTCTCTCAGAAATAAACAAACATTTAAAAAAAAATCCCAAGTGACTTTGCATAAATTGACAAACTGACACTAAAATTTGTATGGATGTACAAAGGACCCAGAATAGACAAAATGCTCTTGAAAAAGAAGAACAAAATTGGAAGACTTATACTTCCTGATTTCAAACTCACCACAAAGCTACTGTAATAAAAATAGTGTGGTACTGGCCTAAGGATAGATGTGTAGATCAATGGAATAGAATTGGCAGTCCAGAAATCCTTACATTTAAGGTCAATTGATTTCTACAAGACTGCCAAGACAATTCAATGACCAGGCTGAGGGGAATATCTTTTAACCACTAAAATATTTAAAAAACAGTCCATTCAAAAATAGGCACATAATTTGAATAAGTATTTCTCGAAAGAAGATAAATAAATGGTCAATAAGCACATGAAAAGACATTCAACATCACTGGTCATTAGGGAAAAGCAAATCAAAACCACAATGAAAACAAAAACAAAAGTAACACCTACTAGGATGGTTAAAATAATTGTCAGTTTGTAAAATGGTGCAGTCATTTTAGAATATAACTCTGCAGTTCTTTAAAATGTTAAACACAGAGTTACCTTATAACCCAGCAATTCCACTCCTCAGTATGCAGAACTGAAGACATACGTCCACATAAAGACTTGTACACAGGTGTTCATAGCAGCATTATTCTTTTTTTTCTTATTTTTATTTTTTTTATTATTAAGAGAGAGAAAGACAGAGTGCAAGTTGGGGAGGGGCAGAGAGAGAGGGAGACACAGAATCCGAAGCAGGCTCCAGGCTCTGTGCTGACAGTGCAGAGCCCGACATGGGGCTTGAACCTATGAACCACGAGATCATGACCTGAGCTGAAATCAGATGCTTAACTGACTGAGTCACCCAGGCACCCCACAGCAGCATTCTTAACAGACAAAAAGTGGAAACCCCCCAAATATCCATCAGTTGATGAACAGATAAATGAAATTTTGTATATCTATACAACTAAAATGTATTTATTGTAAATAAAAAGGAATAAAGTACCAATACCTGCTACAGTATGAATAAACCTTGAAAACTTTATGCTTGGTGAAAGAAGCCAGACACACAGGCCACATATTATTTGATTATAATTTTATGAAGCTTCTGAAATAAGCAAATCCATGGAGCCAGAAAATAAATTAATGGTTGCCTAAAACTGCGGTAATTGGAGGGAATGGGAGAGACTGCTAATGGGTATTAGGTTTTCTTTGGTGATGATAATAATGCTGTAAATGAGATAGTTGTGATGGTTGCCAAACTCTGTGAATGAACTAAAAAAACACTAAATTATACACTTCAAAAGAGTGAATTAAAGTATGTGAGTTATAGAAATAAAGCTCTTACAAGAAAACAAAACAACCAGTTCCTATATTGCTACTAGGTCACGGTAGAAACTGAGCTTCTAACCATTTGATAGCAGATAACCAAGTAGCCAGAAGTTACCATCATGACCCATCAAATAAAAGGTCAGATAAGCCCAGCAATACTCCACAGGGCTATATATGGGCCCTATACCATATGCTTCCTCTCACTCAGGGTAGTCTGGTTACTGCAACAGCTGAATGTCTGACCTGTCAGCAACATAGACTAAGACTGAGCCCCAGAACCATACTGTCCCATGAGAAGATCACTCAGCCTCTTGGTGGCAAGTTGAGGATTATGTTTTGTACCCAAGTGATTCACTTGAACATCTTTTCCATACTTCCATATCCAAATGCAACTAAATGTGTTTGTACTGAAACTAGAATCTGACAGAACATGCCAAAATAGGGCCTAGACCACTCTGGGATGTAAGTCTCTGTTAACCCACTAGATCAGCTACTTGGACCAGCATATGTATATGCTCGCTGAGGGAAGGAGAATCTAGAACAGGTGGAGAATCAATGAAATGACGCATATCAGTGACAGCAGCGTTTCTTAACCTCAGCACTCTTGACACTTTGCACTGAATAATTTTTTGCTATGGGGGCTGTTCTGTGCATTGTAGGACATTATGCCAGTAGCACCTCCAGATATGGTGATGGAAAATGTCTCCAGACATTGTCAAATCTCCCCCGATTGAGAACCATTGAATTACAGCATTGGGAACAAAAGCAGCAGTTGGAGTTCTAATTTGTCCAGCTAACCCTCCCCTCTTTGAAATTTTCCCAGAAATTGTAACCACTTAGAATCCTGTGCTTCAGTAGGTGTATTTGGCATAAGAAGAGAGCGGATCTGAGCAGTGACAGCGGTAAGCTCTAGTGGACACTTTGGGTGTCCCATTCAGATCCCCTTTACCAACAGGTGCACCTCTCTCTCCTTGCTGTTAGTGTTATGACAATTCAAAGATGCAGTCTTCTCTGAAGAATTTCCCTTTGCCAAATGGAAGTTCCATGTTGGAAAGGCTATACCTCCACACCCTTCTAAGAGGGGCTAACGTAATTTTAGCTGCAAACCTTCCTGGGAAACCTTCCCAGCCAAGGCCACATTCTGCAAATGTGTTCCCTTTGTCCCCTCCCGATTTTCTCACTGTCCTCCTGAGTATACTCAACCAATAAATCTCCTGACCAAGAATCTCCAACTCAGGCTCTGCTTCCCAGGACAAAAAAACCACAATTATTTAATGTCTATAATGTCCAAGCATTCAACTCAGATTTTTTTCATTCTTAATACCACTTAGTCTTCAGGGTAAGAACTAAATATTATTAGTCCTGTATGACAAATGAGGAAAGAACCTCAAGAAGTGTGAGTTGTCCAAAGTTCCACCCTAAAAATGGTAGAACCACCATTTGAATCCAGTTCATGAATTCGAAGTTTATATTCTTAACCAATACACTAGTCTCTCTTTGAAGGTAAAAGGGACTGAAGATATTTATTGTTTTTCTCCTGGAAGGGTGACTCTTCTCCTTGCTGGAGTGGTTCCAAGATGTGTAAAGGACTATGAGCTCCTGTCTTGTGACTGAGTTCATGCAAGGTTAATGTTGGAGATATTCTAAGGTTGAGCACTCCATCCTCAGTATCAGATGATATGTCCTCAGGCAAGAGGGTGTTTCTAAATTCCTGTAAGAATACTCTCTGGTTCTCTAGGGAGGAAAGGGAGTTTGACATTCAGTATTAGCTTCTATTCTGAGGAGTAGAAAGAGGATAATATGGGAAATTGCTTTCAAAGGCCTCTCACAATGGAAAATAAAAGTAAACAAGCGGCAGTAAATTGTGGCAACATCTGACTTTACAATCTATTTTACTTAATTATTTTAATAAGAACTTTAAAGCAAGATATATTGTCCATAAAGCTCCTGACAGTTGAGTGAGAGCCAAGTGAATTATAAACTTAAAAATATAAGTTTTATGGGAATTAGCTCCAGGCTATATAGGGGTGTGGGTGTTGATGAATATTTTCATTTTATCTAAAGAAAATTGTAATACACTTTTGCTTTAGTGAGAATTTGCATTTTATCTATGCATTTAAAATAAAGAGAGGCCAGTAAACATTATCATGTTACCTTGGGTAGATTTTGTTTTAATTGAAATGCCACCAAGAGATATAACTTCTTTGGATAGGAGGGTATTTTGTTGCGTCTGGTTTTCTTCTTCTTTTTTCTTTTTACCATTTATGATTTGGTGATTATTTTTAGCAGTACATGTAATAAAATTCGTTTAGTACTGTGGAACAAAAAATAACAATCCAGGTCAATAGAGAGATTTCCCATTTCTAAAGCCAATTTATTTTGAGGAAGGTATTTTTTGTTTTAGCAGTAGTGATTTTCCAGATTTTTCTAGATTTCCCAGATTTTCTTGCTAGATAACAGTCTTTTTCTTTAAATTTTTTTTTAATGTTTATTTATTTTTGAGAGAGAGAGAGAGAGAGAGAGAACACAAGCAGGGGAGGGGCGGAGAGAGAGGTAGACACAGAATCTGAAACAGGCTCCAGGGTCTGAGCTGTCAGCATAAAGCCTGAGGTGGGGTTCAAACTCTGAAGGGCAAGATCATGATCTGAGCCGAAGTTGGATGCTTAACCAACTGAGCAACCCAGGCATCCCAAGACTTTTTCTGTGGGCTACAATATGGACCAATGAAACCAAGCATTGATGTAGTATGTATAATCTCAGAGGCGGAGGGAAAAATCTTCCATTTGAAAGTAGCCAACTTACTAGGGCACCTGGGTAGCTCAATTGGTTACACGTCTGACTTTTGCTATTGGCTCAGGTCAGGATCTCATGGTTTGTGGGTTCGGGTCCCACGTGGGGTCCCACGTGGGGTCCCACTGATAGCTGCAGAGCCTGCTTGGGATTCTCTGTCTCCCTTTCTCTCTGCCTCCCCCTCTTTCTCTCTCCTTCTACATAAATAAATATCAAAAATAAAATAAAAGCAGCCAACTTACACATGGCTGCAGATTTCCCAATTTTTTTCCTCCTCCTCTCATTCCAACCACACCTTCCTCAGAATCACTGCTGCCAGATGCCAGTGCCTGCTATTAATGGCTTCCTTTCTCTGCTCGGTACAGGACTTCCCAAATCCCCATCAATGAAGAATAAAAAAACCCATCAATAGATAATGAGACAAGAAAATATCAAAGGGTGACCTCTTACTCAGAAATCCCAATAACTTTTAGAAAGGCAAAGAATCAAGTCAGAGCTTCAAACAATCTGGAATATTCACACTAATCCATTGTAAAGTACAATTGTGTGTGGAAGGTGAATGGGAAAATAGGAAAATAGAATGGGAAAGAAAATATAAAAAACTAGTTTAACTTAGGGAAGCTGGTCTAGGAAAATAGACACCTAAGCAGAGCCTCCTCTCCAATTTATTTCTCCTCAGAATTTTTGGCTTAAAAAAAAAAAATTTTTTTTTTACCAGTTCTTCACTTCTCCCTATTCCTAAATCCAAAACTGTGTTAATTAATTGGCACCAACAAATATCTTCCCCCCAAAATTTTTTGAACAATTTTTTATGTCTTGATTAATGGCCTTATCATTTATTGTCAATGCCCTTTGAGCAAGTTCTTTAAGCAATCTGAACCCCTGTGTCCTCTGTAATACATTTTTTTAAAGATGTGAAATAATAGAGAAAATAAGCCTAACACAGTTCCAGACAAACTGTGAAGTTTCAGTAAGTTTTCTCTGTTAGCCTGAAGTGTATATCTGCTTTCAATAATTCACATTTTATTGTGAATTAATTAAATCAGAATGTATGCTTCTCGAATACCTTACTTATTTTAGAAATAGGAGTTTTAGTAGAAGTGCTTTGAGAAGCTTAATGTACCTCAGAACAGCAAAAAGGTACTTGGGGCACCTGGGTGGCTCAGTCAGTTAGGCATCCAGCTCTGGATTTTGGCTCAGGTCATGATCTCATGGGTCTTGAATTGGAGCCCTATGCTGGGCTCCACACTGACAGCATGGAGACTGCTTGGGATTTCTCTCTCTCTCTCTCTCTCTCTCTCTCGCTCGCTCTCTCTCTCCCCCCCCCAAAATAAATAAATAAACTTCAAATAATAATTTACAAAGAACAGCAAGAAGGTACTAGATACCAGGCAGAGAGAAGAGAGGGGCCCTCAGAGGTAGGGAGGAGCTAAGTAGAATGGAGTTACAGATTATAAAAAGGAAATTTTACCTAATTTTTACTTTTCTGAGGCTAGAAAGGGAGAAGAAGTACATCCATATTCTTTCTGTGCTAAAAGACCCTCTACACCCAGAATCTAATATTTGGGCACTTCATTAATATCACCCCTCATATCTGTTTTCTTAATAAAGTTTTAGATAAATAAAGTTTAGATGCATGCATAACCTGTTCATCATTGGAGACTAACTGTAATCAAAATAGCACCTGATTAAAATCTGTAACTCCAGGGCTGACACCATTAAGTGACATTTTCTTCATTTCACATGATTTTTAGTTTAATTGTACTGTGGAAGAGCTCATTGTTTCTATTGATCACTTCTGAGATTAGCTTTGATTTGGATTCTCCAGGATTCATTGCTAAACCATGGATATTTTTAGTGATGCTGAATGGCTTCCATACTATTTTTGAAATTATTAACTCAGCCTTCAGAATTTGAGTAAAAGAGTATCTCACACCGTGTTTCAAATGTGACCACTAACATGGCTTCAGGAGTATTACAGAAAATTGAAACAAATAATTCTACCAGCCCTCACCATTCTAAGACCAAAATTGAATTTAAAAAGTGGGCCCATGGGGCGCCTGGGTGGCGCAGTCGGTTAAGCGTCCGACTTCAACCAGGTCACGATCTCGCGGTCCGTGAGTTCGAGCCCCGCGTCAGGCTCTGGGCTGATGGCTCAGAGCCTGGAGCCTGTTTCTGATTCTGTGTCTCCCTCTCTCTCTGCCCCTCCCCCGTTCATGCTCTGTCTCTCTCTGTCGCAAAAATAAATAAAAACGTTGAAAAAAAAATTTAAAAAGTGGGCCCCATATCCTTATAACTATCTAATTCTGGGGATGATTCAATCCTTACATCGTCTTCCAAGATGCTAAGAATATAGTTCAATATTTCTGCCCCACTGCCCATCTTCTCCATCTCAATGCCATGGAGGTAGGCAAATTCTCACATGATATGGTATTATATAAAATAATCAGTCTTTGACAACTCATTTCAATTTATAAATACATTCTTTGGAATCCCCACCCTTTATAAGGTTTTCTAGTTTCCTCCTTATATGTTGCTATAAGAATTCAATTTTATAAAGAATCTTTGACAGTATCCATGTAATGTTGCAAATTCATTCAGTAATGGTACAAATTTCATGAAGAAAGTGCCAGCAAAACAAGAAAAGTGCCATCAGTTAGTGTCACTGCATTTATAAGATCCATGAAGTGTAAGTGGGGAAAAAAATTACTGCACCAAGTCTCACAGAACACCAAGACTCATCAAGACTCTGCAGCATAAGAGTGCAATAATGGGTCACAGTCATGGTCCATTGAAACATTTTCTTCCCTTGGGAACAACTGCACATGACATAAATTGAGAACTCTATTTTTTTCTCAGCTATTAAATGAACTTGAAGAAACCTGGATAGTTTAATTGTTTCCCTATAGCACTAAGAACTATGTAAGGAATAATGAAAATAAGAGCACTTGGGGATAGTGTAATAATTCTGATTTTTAAAAAAAGTTTTAAAAATGTTAGTCCATGCAAGACACTAAACAGAAAATGATCTTGATGGTGTGGATTTATTTTTTATTCTCAATGAGATCCTATTTTAAACAAGGTGCCTAGTGGCTTGGCATGCTGCCAATACTTGACAAAGTGGCAAACCAAATAGCACTAATAGGTGGAAACTTCCCTCAAACGAGGGGGAAAAAAGCTCTTAAAAAATAAAGCCCTTAATGCAAAAGGGGAACATGATCAGAAAAATAAAAAGGTCCTCAAGGGACAAAAAAAAAAAAAAAAAAAAAAAAAAAAGTGAAAAATATGGGTATAAATCTTACCCAAGCCCAAGGTAAAGAGAATCAGTTCAAAACTTTAGAGCATATGTGGAATAGATTGTTAATACTCAGATTCTACTCTGTCACCCCTTAGTTCTGCTTTATCTACCAACAAAACAGCTCCATGTGTCTATCATTCAATCATTCAGTCACCTAGATTTATGTGTTGGACTTTGTCCTAGGCACCAATGATACAGTAGTAAGCAAACAAAACAAAACAAAAAACCCACAAAAACAAACAAACAGACAAGAAAACAACAGTGAAAGAAACAGAAATAGGAGTCAAGATGGGTTGTTTATGCTTTACTGGGATGAATGTTGGATCTTATGGTAGCCCATAGGAGTATAAACCCTAGGGTGGGATGTCAGAAAGGTGTTCTCAAAGGAAAATCAGTGAATAGTTCAGTCATGTAGAAATACATGTGTCAACATCCAAGAGACAGAGAAAGAGAGAGAGAGAAGAAAGAAGTGTATTATGGTCAGAACTTTGAGTTCGATGACAGTAGCAGAAGAAAAGGTAAGAGAGACAAGCAGTGACAAAGTAGCATGGAATTCTTTAATTGCAAATCCCAGGAACCAAATTTAAAATAACATAAGCAAGAAGTAAAAAGACAGAAATTTCTTAAAATTATGTTGGGATATCTTAAGTGTAAGTTGAACAACCATCCATGAGAAGGGAGGGAGCACATTTGGGTCTTAACTCGAAGAAAGGCGAATACCATCAAAACTATCTTTAGCTCTCGTCTTGCCTCTTTCTTCCAGTTGTCTTCATTATTTTCACTGCTTTGTGCCCTAGCAGAAAACATGGATACCAATAGCCCTTGAGTTTTCTCTGTAGGATTCAACCCTTAGAGATTATAACTGATATTTTTCTTAGTTTTAGGTTCAAAAGTTTTGGGAAAGTACACTGAAACACTCATTCTTTATTCCCGTTAGTTCATTCTTCTACCTGTGTGCTACTCTGTGCCGAGCACTTTTTCACGTGTTGAGTCCATGTGATGAGCAAGACAGATAAACTCATGCTTTCAAGCAGCTCACATTCTAGTAGGAGAAAAGAGGCAGTAAATAAGCAACTGAATCCAGGAACAATGCAGTTTTAGGTAGTGGTAGGTGTCAGGGAAGAAATAGAAAAGAAAGATGGTGGAGAGATTGTGTGAATTAAGGAGGGGAACATTGGTATCACCAAAGAGATGATGTTTGAACTGATCGGAGTTGGGGAAGAATC